CCTGTGTGGAGTGTTTTGACATCTGATACCATTTAATAGAAGGAAACAGCAGATCCAGCAAGGGGCCAAGGCAAACCATGACACATCTATAGATGTCATAACCTTAATCCAGCTACCTACCTTATTCCCTTTTCCAGAGGATGGAATTCTTTAACATTAACCCAAGCAAATTCCCTGCATCACTCTGATCTCCTCTGTAAGACTCAGATTTAGATTTCTTTGTATATGGGTCACATCTTAAATAATGAACAAGGATATTTTCAAGCTGGATATGCTATTACCACTTTACAAGATTTTATTGAATATAATCCCTTTCCTGAAGTAAAATCAATACAACTAGCTAAACTAGCTCGACTAGAGCCTGTCAGCTAAAAAAAGACAAGAAGGCTAACATACATAGACAGCAGATATGCTTTTGGTGTATTTCATGATGTTATGGAAGCAACATGGTTCTTTAACTGCTCCTGGTGCTCTCATTAAGCACAGTGAGCATGTTTTTTACTAACTGCTTTGCTTCTCCCTAAAAAATTGTCTGTAATTAACATTGAAGCTCATACTTAGAGAACAAACCTATGAGGGAAAAGGAAATGTCTCAGCTGACCAGTGTATTAACCAAGTTATTCTTATCCAAGTTCAACTAGGTCGACAAATTAAAGATGATCTGGTTAATTCAGGTCATTTTATAAAGTTTCAAGCAAACTGAAATCACAACTATCAGATTCTGAAAAGGATATTTGGAGAAATCTGGGTGTGCCTTCCAATCTGATGAGTTATAGAGATAGCAAGATGACCATTTGGTCTCTCCAGACCCTCTGAAATGGAGCTTGGTGAAAAACGTGCACATTATGATCCATCCCTGTCAAGAAAACTTAAAAACTATTCTGGAACAACATTAACAGGGAAATTTTAATTAGATATTAGAGGAGGACATCCAGTGTATTTCCCACCTATCAGACTCGTAACTCAGGAAAAATTGTAAAGGTGGTACATAGATAGGAACCACAAGGGAGCCCTTTGAACATTTACAAATGGACTTTGTACAACACCCTACATCGGAAGGCTTTGAAAATGTATTTATTATTCTATGTCTCTTCTCTAGATGGTGAAATGCTTTCCAAACTTGCTTAAAGGAAACTGCTCTTATTGTGGCTAAAAAGTGATTAGATTTTATTTTTCCTACTTAATTTCTAGTGAAGAACTACTCATTTTACTGGGACTCTAATTAAGAAATTTTGTAAGGTGTTGCCTGTTGGCCAAAAATTATGCTGTCCTTACTATCTTCAATCCTCAGGAAAAATAGAAAGAGCTAATGATACTTTAAAATTAAAACTTGCTAAACTCTCTGAAGACCTAAAACTACCTCTGCCTAAGCTACTCTCATTGACCCTAACAGCAAACATACATCGCGACCTAATGAACTTGTCACAGTCAAACCAAAGAGATAGGGCACTACACCCCTATTGTAAACTCCACTTTGTTGCAAGCAAATATGACCCAATAATGTAAATGACTAATGCAATATACTCAGACTTATCATCAAGAGGGTCAAGTTGTCTTTCTAAAGAAGCCATCTTCTGGACTTACAATGAGGAGACTTAGTCTACTGGAATAGATACCAACAAATACTGCTCTGGACCCCCACTGGAAGGGACCCTATCAGGTTCTCCTTATCACTAACAGGGCAGCCAAGCTACAAGGAATAGACCTTTGGTTCCTTGTGTCCCAGCTAAAGAGACATCCACCTCTGATCAACTAGACTTCTTTAATCAGAGTCCCTAAACTGAGGTTTCTCAAAACTTTTCTGAAGCACATGATGGCACAAACGAGACAGCTTTTCTATAAAAGTTGGAACAAACAAATGACATCAGATAGCAAGTAGCTTCTGCTCAAAACAATGGAATAAAAACTCTGCCTCAAATTTAGTATCTCCCTTTTCATCCTAACCTTGAATTTGTGCATCTCTAGAATTATCTCCAAGTACTAATCATAGAAATGCTTCCTATTCTTACTCTGCTGTTTCTACTCTGCCCTGCCCCTTCTCCTCTCTCTCTTCCTCAATTCCAAGATCTTTGGCATTTTTTGGCTGACATGCTTATGAAACAATCACCCATGATTGTTGCTTCTGCTTACTTTTCCCATCAGCTCCATCACTCCTTTACAAATACCAGTTCCTTATCCAAGAAGATCTCTCTGCCATACCACTGCCATTTGGCATATGGTCGCATCCAAATTGGGTCTCTGATAAATCTCTGAAGTTAACATATCCTACCCAGTAAACACTCAAAGAGGGAAAGCATGTTTTTCCTGAAAAAACAAAAAAAAAATTTGTTTTTAATCTTCAATCCATGGGCCTAAACTGCTGTAAAACATGCCACGTTATTGGCCCAGCTGAAAGGAGTGGATATCATTGGGCTAACTGTAATACTAGCTTCACTCAGGCAAGCTACAACAATAAAACTATGAGTATTTTCCCCCACCCCCATAGCAATTCATATTTTATTTGTGGGTCCAATGATTATGTTTTTTGCCAGTTGGATAGGTTGTCATCTCATTCATCAATTTCCCCTGTTCTAACTGTACAGTTGCACTGAGTTTGAACAATTATTGCCCCTTTAGGTCAGAGGTCAAATCCTCGGTTCTCAACCAGAGGGGCAATCTGTATTTAGGAGTGAACACATAAAAACATTCATTCTTACCAGGTGGTAGAAAGACCTGCATGAAGAAACTAAAAGACTTGGAATCAATCCAGATAGAATTGCCACTGCTTGGGATGGGTTTTATGCTGGAGTTATTCCTGGAGGAGCAACCCTATGGACTGCTGAAGCAGTTTGACATAATACTCAATTAAGAAATGTGAATTAAGGGCTGGCCCGGTGGCGTACCGGTTAAGCGTGCATGCTCTGCTGTAGCAACCTGGGGTTCCCAGGTTCGGATCCTGGGCGTGGACCTACGCACCGCTTGTCAAGCCATGCTGTGGCAGCGTCCCATATAAAGTGGAGGAAGATGGGCACAGATGTTAGCCCAGGGCCAATCTTCCTCAGCAAAAAAAGGAGGATAGGCATCAGATGTTAGCTCAGGGCTAATCTTCCTCACAGAAAAAAAAAAAAAGAGAGAGAAAAGAAATGTGAATTATATACTTATATCCAGAGAAAAGCTGAAACACTGGAATAATCCAAGCTTAAAACATAAAACTATACATGTTTTTAAATTGAATTTACTGTTTTCTCCTTTCCTTTGTGAGGTAAATATTTTCTTCTTCCCATTTAGATAAGAAACTACCTGTCAGTTTTTTTTGGTCTAAGCTGTATTATTTAAGTTACCATGTAGGAAATCATAGTAACAGAGATTTTGAATGGAGCATACCAACGAAATACAGTTCAAAACACAACTTTCCGGGGCCGGCCCTGTGGCTTAGCGGTTAAGTGCACACGCTCCGCTACTGGTGGCCCGGGTTTGGATCCCGGGCATGCACTGACGCACCGCTTGTCAGGCCATGCTGTGGCGGCGCCCCACAGACAGCAACTAGAAGGATGTGCAACTATGACATACAACTATCTACTGGGGCTTTGGGGAGAAAAAGGGGGGAAAAAAAAGGAGGAGGATCGGCAATAGATGTTAGCTCAGAGCTGGTCTTCCTCAGCAAAAAGAGGAGGATTAGCACAGATGTTAGCTCAGGGCTGATCTTCCTCACAAAAAAAAAAAAACAAAAAGCAAAAAACAAAAAAAACCCCACAACTTTCCTAGTTTTTTAATCATTAGTTCCATTTGCTAAGAGTGGCACTTGTTTTTTTTTTTTTTTTTTTTAATTTTATTTATTTTTTTCCCCCAAAGCCCCAGTAGATAGTTGCATGTCATAGCTGCACATCCTTCTAGTTGCTGCATGTGGGATGTGGCCTCAGCATGGCCGGAGAAGCCACGTGTAGGTGCACACCAGGGATCCGAACCCAGGGCCGCCAGCAGCGGAGCGCACGCACTTAACCGCTAAGCCACGGGGCCGGCCCAGAGTGGCACTTTTTGAATGCCATTCATTAGCCTTGTCTATCTAAGTCTGAATTATCAAATATTTCATACCTTTAAAAATTTTTTTAGCTAAACAACTTCCTTATGAAAAATCCTAAAACTTTCTTTTATACAGAACAGCAATTTTTACTACAAATTGTTAGTATGAAATCTGAAACTGTTCTCTGTTAGCAAAATGATGCGTTTACCACTTCAAAAAGAAAAAAAAACATAAACCTTTGCAGATGGCATTATTTTTTTCTGATTTACTTTTCTTGTCTTTGGTCAACAGCTTGGATTTAGTATAACATAGTAACAACAAAAGAGGAGGAAATTTTGCTCTTTTTAAAAACGTTTACATATTATAGTCTCTGTTTTTATTCCCTTTCTCTCTAACCCCTTTCCTAAAATATCTGCGTCATTTTAGGTCAATGCAAAGTATTTGTATTTTCTGTATTTCCCTTTGGTATTTTCCATTTTATACTGTAATATTTTATGAAGCTATTCATGAAATAATCTGTTATTTGTAGCTATTGGGTCTTTCATATTTTTAACCTCTGTTCATTTTTTACTAAATAAGAATTTTAAATCCAAATTAAATTCCCCAATGGAATTATTGAGTAATTGCTGAGTAAAATCCAAATACCACACTTCTGGAATGTAAAATACTGGTGTCATTTTGCATTATTTACAGTAAAGAAAAAATACTAAAAGTAAAAACTGATTTATTGTTCTCTGTGTAATTTTGCCTTACTCCTACTACCTCCTTTGAAAATACATTTTAATTATGTTTCTTTCCCCTCTTTTTTTTTGTTTATTTTACTGTTCTTATATTCATATTTATTTTTAAGCAGTAAATAATAAAATACCAATAATGAAACTTGTCATTTGTTTGGCAAAGTTTAAATTTATTTTTCTTTAAAAATTTTTTTATTCTCATTATTTTCTCCAATGTTTTTTCATTGTTTGGAGCTTCCCTTTCTACAAGCAGGAATTTCATCTTACACACGTCGAATACTGGGAGAGCTGTTGGTAGCTTTCAGGGCAGTATCTTGAGCTTGGTTGGATTGCAGAATAAGAATGGCTTCATCAACCTTGGCACGGAGAAACTCAGGATATTTGAGCATAGAAAGAATTTCAGCATCATCCATCTCCAACAGTATGCCAGAGACTTCTCCAGCTAGAGTTGGCTGAGTAGATCGAACCAGAGGAACCAGCTTTTCATGCAAGATTTTCTTCTGAGTAGCAGCTGATACCAACACAGATATATTCAACATACCATGACGTTGCATACAAACAGGGACAGGCTTCTGGATGGATGCTGGTTTTCCTACTTTAAATTTTAAAGGCCTGCAAACACCTGCAACTCTTTTGAATCTTTGATTTGCACGCGGTCCTGAGGCAGAAGTTTGAGGGTGAACAGTCATGGCCTGGGTTGTTGTACTGGTGACCTGATAGGGTAACTTGACTGCTGGCATTTGTGGTGGTCTAAAAGTGCTGGATGACGGTTTAGGTGCTGCTGCTGCTGAATGGATAACATCACATATATTCTGAGATGGATGACGTCTGGCCCTGACCACAGGCCTGCAAAGATGTGCACTTCTATGTTGAGGCTGAGGAAGAATTGGCTTGAAGTTACTCGATGATGTTTCTGCCGCCTTGGGAGAATTGAGTACACGATTACCTCCATCTCCCACAGGTGCCCTTCTCTCCATATAGTTCTTGGTGAGGAGAGCCTGGCGCTCCACCTTACTTTGTGCAGTAGCCACATACAGGGGTTTGGTGATCACAACTTTTCCATTCATCGCCATGATGGCTTTTTTGGCTTCCTCAGGAGTTGTATAGCAAACGAAGCCAAAGCCCTTGCTGCAGCCTGCCTCCATCATGACCCTGGCACTTGTGATTGTGCCAAAGAGGGAAAATTCTCTTCTCAGTCGTTTATCATCAATACCGTCTTCAAGATTTTTCACATAAAGATTAGCGCCCCTGCACCTGGTGAGTTTACCCTGTTTTCTTTGCTCAAATTTGTGTTTTAATTCAGATTGTCTCTCTAGTTTGTTCTGTGCTCTACCAACATAAACTCGATTTCCATTAAGGACTCTTCCATTCATTCCTTTGACGGCTTTCCGGGCATCTTCAAAATTCTCAAAACTCACAAATCCAAAGCCTTTGGATTTTCCGCTTTCGTCAGTCATAACTCTCACACTTAATACAGAACCAAACTCACCAAAAACCTCTTTAAGACATTCATCATCTACATCATCTCCAAAATTCTTGATGTAAACATCGGTAAACGTGTTGGCTCTAGCTCGAAGTTCTGTTTCCCTTTCCTTGCAAGGTTTAAACTGCGCAACAGAAACTCGGCTACCTTTCAGCGGAATCCCATTCATTATTGCAATGGCTCTTCTAGAGGCTTCTGATTTCTCAAAATGCACAAATCCGAAACCCCTTGATCCATTTTCATTGCTTACTACTTTACAAGAAATAATGTTTCCAAAGACAGAAAATGTGTCATAAAGGAACTTACTATCAATAGACTTGGCAAGATTTTTGATGAATATATTGCCCACTCCACTCTTACGAAGTGATGGGTCACGCTGGGACCACATAATTCGCAGTGGCTTGCCACTGATATTATCAAAGATCATAGTGTTCAGAGCGCGCTCGCTATCGGCCTGGAGCAAGAAGTTCACATACGCGTAGCCCAGAGAGCGGCGCGTGACCCGGTCGCGGCAAACTCGAATGGACAGGACTGGCCCGGCAGTGCTGAATTTTTTATACAGCATTGCCTCGTCCACTTCGGGGTGCAGGGCTCCGACATAGAGTGAGGACTTTTCGAAGCGGGGAACGTAAGCACTCATCTTGATGTTAGATCTTGAGCGAGACCCGGACCAGGCGCCAGGACTGAACCTCTCTCAGTGGGAGACAGAGTCAATCAAAGGAAGAATGGAGGCCAGGGGTGCTCTGCCTAGGCCGCCACCGCTGTCGCAGAAGGAGCGCAGGCAGCCCGCAGCCAGACGAAACTGAGATCGTGGGCAGTCGGTTATGGCGAGTGGCGAACATTGCGTATAGATACCCCGCGTGCCGGATTGTGACGCAGTTTGTGCTTGTTCGACGTCAGGTGCGTAGGCGCCACGCGCCGACGGGAGGGGGTCCTGCGGCTGTTCTTTGATGGCGTGGCTGCTCCGGGCGCTACAGGGAGAAGTTCCTTGGCTAGGCCGCCTTAGGCGCCCAGGGTAGCGGCCCGGACTGCTCCACCGGCTGCTTGGAGGCAAGAAAGTAAGTCTCCAGGTGGGGGAAAGCAGGCGCTTCAATGGTCTTTTCTTTTCCTGACTTGCCTTACTTTTTCTTATCCCT